TCCAGAGCTTCTGTACAGCAAAAGAAAATCATTAGAGTGAACCAGCAACCAACAGAATGGGAAAAAATTTTTGCAATCTACCCATCTAACAAACAGCTAATATCCAGAATCTACAAAGAACTAAAACATATTTACAAGAAACAAACAAACAAATCCATCCAAAAGTGGGTGAAGGATAGGAACACTTTTCAAAAGAAGACATATATGAGGACAACAAACATATGAAAAAATGCTCATGACTGATTATTAGAGAAACAAAAATCATAACCAAATTGAGATACCACCTCATTTCAGTTAGAATCGCAATCATTAAAAAATCTGGACACAACAGATGCTGGAGAGGATATGGAGAAATAGGAACACTTTTATACTGTTGGTGGGAGTGTAAATTAGTTCAACCATTGTGGAAGACAGTGTGGTGCTTCCTCACCTCAAGGACCTAGAAACAGAAATTCCATTTAACCCAGCAATCCCATTACTGGGTATATATCCAAGGATTATAAATCATTGTATTATAAAGACACATGCACACATATGTTCATAGCAGCACTGTTTACAATAGCAAAGACCTGGAACCAACCCAAATGCCCATCGACGATAGACTGGACAAGGAAAATATGGCACATATACACCATGGAATATTATGCTGCCATAAAAAACGATGAGTTTGTTTCCTTTGTAGGGACATGGATGAATCTGGAAACCATTCTCAGCAAACTGACACAAGAACAGAAAATCAAATGCCACATGTTCTCACTCATAGGCGGGTGTTGAATAATGAGAACACATGGACACAGGGAAGGGAGCATCACACACTGGGGTCTGTTGGCAGGGGTTGGGGGGCCAAGGGAAGGACATCAGGGGAGTGGGGAGGTCGGGGAAGGATTACATAGGGAGAAATGCCAGATGTAGGTTATGGGGCAATGGAGGCAGCAAACCACATTGCCATGTGTGTACCTATGCAACAATCTTGCATGATCTGCACATGTACCCCAGAACCCAAAGTACAATTAAAAAAGAAAAAAAAGGAAAAAAAAATTTTACAAGACGCATGCAACACTGTCTCTAGAATCAGAATGACCATTTTAAAAATAATTTTTGAAAAACACAAAAAGGAAATTTGTTCCTAAAGGATATTCTCCCTGGATTCTTAGAGCTAATTATCATTTTATGTATCACAGATGAAGATTTAGTTCCACTTTTACGACTAGCTAGTAGCTCAAATATCTGCAAAAATTAAAGTAAAACAAAGTAGATGTTTTTTGTTTTTTTTTTCTCCCCCCACAAATTAGCCAATTCCATACTTTTTCTATTTCTACACACAAAAAAAGGAGCTCTATTCTCTGGCCACAGCCTTTACACTTAATCCCAAACATCTACGCCCTATGTGAAACTCTTATCATGAGAAAGACTAAGAAAGAAAAACTTGTGAGTGTTTCAGAGCAAGCCCATCTCTGATGCTAATAAGACATGGCTTTCACACCACTCAGCAGGCTGCTGCAGTATCCTAGAATTATCACTATAGGACCAAAGTTATGGAGAGCAGTAATGATTTGGACAAGTGTTTGGGCTTAAGAATGGATGTTAGATTTTTTATTTATAGTTCTTTGGGCTTGAGGGCTTTACTGTTTCCATTAAACTGATAAGTATATAATAAAAAATTCAAACTATACAGAACAATAACAAAAATAACATAGAAAATTGTCCTGTTCACAGCAACCACAGTTCACAGCAATAATCACTATTAACTTTTAGTGCTCAAAATAATTTTGCTTGTTTTTAAACGTATCTCCAAAAAATTAATCATTTTTCACCCATTATATTGGCAAAAGTTAAAAAGCATGTGAATGCTAAGTGCTGACAATGTTGTAAGGCAGGCGTCCCCAAACTTTTTACACGGGGCCAGTTCACTGTCCCTCAGACCTGTTGGAGGGCGGCCACATACTGTGCTCCTCTCACTGACCACCAATGAAAGAGGTGCCCCTTCCTGAAGTGTGGCGGGGGGCCGGCTAAATGGCCTCAGGGGGCCGCAGGGGGCCCACGGGCCGTAGTTTGGGGACGCCTGTTGTAAGGCAATGAACACTCTCATGTGTTGCTGATCAGTGTAAAAGGTGCATATTAACACATTGGAAGGCAATGTGACAGACTCTATATGCTATGACTATATGTCGGTGTCCTCTCCTGCCACCCCCAATTCATGTGTTGAAACTTTAACCTACAATGGGATGGTTGTCTACAAAGAGAGTGAGTCTTTGGGAAGCAATTAGTTTCCACGAGGTAGAGCCTGTATGACAGGATTGGTGTCCTTATAAAAAGAGATCAAGACTCCAACTCACTGTATCTACTACATGAGGACATAATAAGGAAGCAGCATCTGCAAACCAAGAATACGGCCTAGATCATGGATTTCCCAGCCTCCAGGCCTGTGAGAAATTAATGTTTATTGTGCAAGCCACCCAGTCTATGGTATTCTTGTTATAGCAGCCCAAACTAAGATGCTATATAAACTAATAAAAGTACGCATGTCCTAAGAATCAGCTATACAGTTTTCTGTATTGAGATAAGAGATATAATTCATTTACCATAAAATTGTGAGGCTTAGTATATTCACAGAACATCAACACTAATTCCAGGACATTTTCATAGCCCCAAAAAAGAAACTCTGTGCCCATTGGCAGTCACTCATCACTCTCCTCTCTCCCTAACCCAGGGCAACCAATAACCTACATTCTGTCACTATGGATTTATACGTTCTGGACTTTTCAAATAAATGGACTTATATAATATGTGCCCTTTTGTAACTGGCTTCTTTCATTTAGCATATTTTCAAAATTTGTCCATGGTGAACCATGAATCAGCGCTCGATTCCTCTTTATGGTTGAATAATATTCCATTTTGTGGATACATTACATTTGGCTATATATTCATCAGTTGATGGACATTGGCTTGTTTCTACATTCTGGCTACTATAACACTGCTATGAAAGTTTTGCACAAGTTTTTGTATGGACATAGATTTTCTCATTTCTCTTGAAGTACCTAGGAGTGAAACTGCTGGGTCAAATGGCAATTCTATAGTTTAACTTTTTGAGGATATGAAAAACTGTTCTCCCAAGCAGATGTACCATTTTATATTCCCATCAGAAACATGTAAAGGTTCTAATTTCTCCACATATCCACACTTGTTATTGTGTATCTTTTTTTTTTTTTTTAAAGACAGAGTCTCACTCTGTTGCCCAGGCTAGAATGCAGTGTTGTGATCTCAGCTCACTGAAACCTCCGCCTCCCGGGTTCAAGCTATTGTCGTCCCTCAGCCACCCATGTAGCTGAGAACATACGCATGTGCCACCACATCTGACTAATTAATTGTTGTATTTTTAGTAGAGACGGGATTTTGCTATGTTGACCAGTCTGGTATTGAACTCCTGGCCTCAAGTGATTGGTCTACCTTGGCCTTCCAAAGTGCTAGAATTACAAGCATGAGCCACTGTGCCCAGCCTGTTTTTTACCCTCTTGACAGTGTCCCTTGAAACACAAAAGTTTCTAATTGATGAAGTCAATTTTATCTGTTTTTAATTTTGCTGATTAGACTTTTGCTATCACATCTAAGAAATTACCTAACCTAAGATCATAAAGATTTATATCTGTTTTCTTCAAAGTGTGTTATAGTTTCAACTCTTTCATTTAGGTATTTGATCTATTTTGAGTTAATTTCATATTCTGCATGACGTAGGGATCTAATTTCATTCTTTGATATGTGGATATCCAATTATCCCAGCACCATTTGTTGAAAGAAACATTCTTTCTCCATTTATTGGTCTTGTAATATTAACTATTTTAAATCTATCTAAAATTTTCTATAGTTTAATTGTAGCAGTGATGACACAACTATATGTTTGTCAAAACTTAAAAGAACTGTACACTAAGAAAATTGTATTGTATGCAAATAATATCTTAATGAACCTGATATTTAAAAATTCTACTTTAGGTCAGGCACAGTAAATCACACCTGGAATCCTAGCACTTTGAGAGACTGATCTAGGAGAATCACTTGAGCCCAGGAGTTTGAGACCAGCCTGGACAACACTAGTGAGACCTGTGTCTACAAAACAAATTTTTTAAATTAGTCAGGTGTGGTGACACATGCCTGTAGTCCCAGCTACTCAAGAGGCTGAGGTGGGAGGATCACTTGAGCCCAAAAGGTTGAGGCTGCACTCAGCCATGATCATGCCACCACATTCCAGCCTAGGTGACAGAGTAAGATTGTATCTCAAAAAAAAAAAAAAAAAAAAAATCTACCATAGAGAAACAACTCATATACAATATAAAGGATCATATACAAGGAACATATGCTTCACAAATATTGTAGTACTGTTTGTAAAAAAAAAAAAAAAAAAAAAAGAACCTAGATACCATCTGTCTATCAAAAAAGTAGTAGCTACATAAAATGTCATATAGTCACAGGATCACAGGATTTAATTATATGCAATAGTTTAAACAGTTATAGATACATACATATATCTCACATGAATTAAGCTCAGAAATGTTCTGTTAACTAAAAGAAGTGCACCATTTACAAACACAATAATTTACAAAATAATTTACAATTTAAAATATATGTTTAAAAAGATAAACAACACTATACAGGCTCTATGAGTATATATGTAAGAATCTAAAGGTATCTGTTAAAGGTCTAGAAGAATAGTCATCAAATTGATAACACTCACTGCTTCTCGAGAGAGTGATAAAGACACCAGGATTGGGAGGGATGGTCAGACACGAGTTGAGCTCTGTCATTTCCTAACCTCCCCTGCAAAAAATCACTAATCACTGTGTGACTAAAAAAATAATAATAAGGAATTTGTATGAGTTATAAACAGAGGTCATAAGTATAGAACCATAGGTTTTTAATGTATGTACTCATGTGCCATCCCTGCATCCAACACACACACACACACACACACACACACACACACAGACACATACACACACGAGTCTTACCAATTTGGGTTTTCCATACTTTCCCGGAACACAGACTCTTCTTTCATGGATGCATACTGTGTCCATGTAAGGCAGTGACTCTGTATAGCCATGTTTCTTTCCCAAGGATTGAGCCATGACTCCTCTTCTAATTGGATATTAGGTACTTTCAAAATGCTCACCTGTCCAACAGAAAGAGAATGGCTTTCTCAATTTAGGAAGAGCAGGCTATAAAAGGACTGCATCCAGAGTTACTCTCAGTCTTGGAAAACCAAAAGGACAAGTAATCCTGATATATGGATGATGGCTCACCAGTGGCTGTACATTTTTGATAATCAAATATACTATGACCTTACTAAGTGTTGGTGAGGACATGCAAATGGCCCAGGATTTATGTAAGCTATACAGTTCCTGGCCTAATTTCCCTAACTGCTAAACACTAAGCAAATTATCAGCCTCCTTTGTGTCTCCTCTAAGGGTGGTTATGGCCTTCTTAAATTGATGAATTCTAATCGAGCCCACTTACAGGCTCACATGCAGGACAATATCAGGTAAAATATCGTCTTCATTTTAAACTCTGTCCAATACCTAGAAATGTATGGTTTCCTAGGTGAAGACATGGAAAACTACAAAGGCAGAATTGTACAAGTCAGAGGTGTCCTTAAATTATTTAAGAATTGAGACACAAGACAAAATTGAATGCCTTTTTAAATAATAGATTCAGAGTATATAATGCAAAGGCAGGGTACACACTCTGGAAAAAGCCAGTAATAATTTCCTGCTACAGTGCAACAAGTTTTACCATCTGGAAAATAAAAGAAAGTTCATTTTCATTGTCATATTAGCTTTATTACACTGAAGAATGTGACAGTCTTTTAATCCATGATAAGAAAGTGATGGAAGCTGCCATTTGTTCCACATACCGCACAGCAATTTAATTTGCAAGCTAATCAGCAGGAGCCAAGCTGGGTTCCACATCTGATATGGTTTGGCTGTGTCCCCACTCAAATCTCATCTTGAATTGTAGCTCCCATAATTGCATCTCATGGCAGAGACTCAGGGGGAGGTAACTGAATCATGGGCGTGGGTTTTCTCCATGCTGTTCTCATGATAGTGAATAAGTCTCATGAGACCTGATGGTTTTATAAAGGGCAGTTTCCCTGCATATGCTCTCCTGGCTGCTGCCATCTAAGAGGTGCCTTTACTCCTCCTCCACCTTCCACCATGATTGTGAGGCCTCCCCAGCCATGTGGAACTGTGAGTCCATTAAAGCTCTTTTTATTTATCACTTACCCAGTCTCGGGTATGTCTTCATTAGCAGCCTGAGAATGGAATATCACAACATCATACACAGAATCTCTCTCGGGTTGAAACTACCCTCTGAGACCTGTTTGAAAGTGCATATCCAGATGTTTTCCTCTGACTTCCTCATAGCTCTAAAAGGACTCCCACTGAAAATCCCTCTATGGTTCAAGCAAGTGATTAAAAATTTCCACTCACCGTTTTCCAACAAAGAATCACCAGAGTGCTTAAGGACTTCAAAGAAAGAAAATAATTTGCTATCATAAAGATTTCATCATCAATATTATACACATAAAGACTCACAGAGGGCATGGAGAACATTATACTCTGGGAAGCAACTGTTATCTCTGATAGTGAATTAGAAACTGAAGTTTTTCTCTTCCTTACTAAAGATGAGACTAAATATTTACAATCTTCCCATTTCTGATTATTCTCACCCAATTCATTTCTCACCATGAACAGATTAGACAGTCACTTCATGTAAAATGCCCAAAGTATCTTAAAAATAACTGCACAATATCTCTATGTCCATTAAGAGTCCTTCATAAGCAGTGAGACAGAGACAAGTATCTCCAGTGACTTCTGCTAAAACTGAGGTTGGATAAGAAAGAGCTTTCTTTCTCAGAAGGCTATGAAGTAAGAGAAGTAGGAAGTTTCTAATGCTCCTTTACATCAGAAAATGCTGTTCCTTTCTGTGACTATTAAAAATTACTCACAGACCACCATGGCATGTGTATACCTATGTAATAATCCTGCACGACCTGCACATGTGTAATTTAATGTATAATTTTTAAAAATGAAAAAAAATTAATGTTACAACTGGGATTAAATTTTAAAATGAACTTACCTTCCTTAAAATTTCTGGAACCACATTCTGACAGACTGCAATCCTCTTTCTGTAGATGATCCCTGTTGATTCATCTAAAAAAGAAAATTTTTTTACACACAAAAAATTAAGGAAAATGTATTCTTTTCTTAGTGTCAATAAATCTTTTAAAGTCAATCTCAATTTTCTATTTGCAGAATTCCTACAGAAAATGTTTAACTCAAAATTCAGTTTTCCTGACACTTTTCTGGGCCAAATCAGATACTCCTTATCTGTGATGAAGGAATAAGGGTACAACAGCAACTCAGAATGCACCCTCCAACGTCAAGATGAAAGAATCACAGCCATTCACTGCTCTGGACTATCCATGTAAGTGCTCCAATGACGATGACCTGCTCAATTCAATGCTTCAGCAAAAAGGAAGAGAATCTAATGCTGCTACCTTCTGTACCAAACTTTCAAGCACAGATTTCTGTCTACAAAATTTAGACCTATAATTAATTATATTGGCCATATCCATCTCTCAAAAGGAGGTAGACTTCCTATTGTTACTGGCAGCAAATCTATACAGGTCTGCAGCAACCTCAATTTTGGCCTCCTCAGAAGGAATTCAACTGAGGGGCATAAGGCAGAAGGAGGGACCAAGACAAGTTTTTAGAGCAGGAGTGAAAGCTTATTAAAATGAATAGAAAATGGCTATTCCTGTTCTTTTTAATAAACTTACCTAAACAGGAAAAGGCTATTCCTGTTACTTTAGAATAGGAATGAAAGGAAGAAAAATACACTTAGAAGAGGGCCAAATGGGCAACCTGAAAGGCAAGTGTGTGGTCTGACCTTTTGGCTTGGGCTTTTATACGTTGGCATACATCCGGGGTCTTGCATCACTTCTCCCAACTCCTGAGATCTTATCAGGAAGCTGTTGATCATCAGTTTCAGGTGTTTTCTATCTATTAGGAGCATGCCTTTGCCTGGTGCCAGCTGTGACCAATTATTATTTAGAGCGATAATTAAAAAACCTCTTGACCATCACCTGATGGTCACCCAACACTGTGTGTGTGCAAGCCCTCTTCTGTCCTGCTCATCAGTTTCAGATGTTTTCTATTAGGAATGTGCCGTTGCCTGATGCCAGCTGTGACCAATTATTACTTTACAGAGACAGTTAACAACCGCATGACCATCACCTGATGGTCACCCAACATTGTGTGTGATTTAGGAAAAAGAAAGGCAAAGGCAGAGGAAAGAATAAACTCTGAAGTGCAGTCTTCTGCTTTGTGAATCACTGTGACTTAGCCATGCTGCTACAGGTTTTCTCAAAGCTCTCGCTATAGCAGTCCCAAACCTTGATGCAAAAATCCTGACTGCCCAGAAGCTGCTGATAGGGTGCAAACTCCTCTGCCCATTGGCCCTCCCTTTGGCCATCTCACCCACATACTCAAAATGGATTAGCCACTCCCAAAGGCAAAGATGCCCCTGACAATGACAGAAATTAAAATTAACATTTCAATTTAGAATATGCAGTGTTCTCTCATTTGATCTTCATAACCTAAAAACAAGATTGTCTTCCCATTTGACAGATGAAGAAACTGAAGCTCCAAAAAGGTCACCAAGATAGTACTGAAATCCGATTTCTCTGATGACAAATAACAAGTTTCTCCCACAGTGCAGATACATGAGAAAACGTTTTTAATATACCTATATAGTTACAGAAATACAAAAAATGCATATGCAAGCAAAAGGCAGTTACATTTACCAAGCACAGAGAGGGCTTCAGAGTCACACTATAAACAGTAGCATCTCATGATTACTAAGAAGTCATGCTGTACCTAGGCCTCAGTGTCTCCAAAGCTTTGTACATTGATTATGTGCATTGTCACAGGTTCCTGCATTGCCCAGTTCTCAAGTTTAAACAGTGACATTGATAATGTTTTTTGCTGGAAATGGGGACAACACAGAACAGAAAAGATTCCTATACTCTAGAGCAGAAATCAGTAAACATTTTCTGTAAAGAATCAGAGGGTAAATAATTTAAGTTTTGTGAGCAATAAAGTCTCTGTGGCAACTGATCAACTCTGCTGTTGTAGTGAGGAAGCAGCCATAGATGACATGTAAACAAATGTGAATATGTTCCAATAAAAGTTTATTTACTGAAGCAGGCAGCAGGAGCCATAGCTTGTCAACTCCTGCTCTAGTCAATGCTAACCTACACTGCCAAGTAGTTGATTCCATAAGCAATCACTTTATGGTGACATCTCATATTTAATCATATGCATTTTGCCATCTACAAGATGATATGATAATAGGCTACAGCCATGTGACCTTGAGCAAGTCACTTAACTTCTCAGTTTCTTCATTCATTAAATGAGTAGTCTAATACCTATCCCACACATTGTTCTGAAGATTGAGTTAATAAAAGAGGACCTGGCAAATATTAAGTGCTCAAAAATGTTAGCGGTTACAATTATATATAGCTCAGTACTGTCATTAACTATTAGTTTAGAAAGTGACAAAAAGCATTGGCGGACTTTTACTATCATAAATGCTGGTGCTCTACCTGCCACATCTTTCTAAGTCACCTCAAGTACAGAAATATACCTGTTTAAAAATTAATAATGCAAGGAACCACAGGTGATCAATTTTTTTAAAAAACCTAAGAGGCCACACACACACACACACACACACACACACACCCCTTCACAAAAACCACTATGATTTAATGATCATCACTGAAAAAGCTGTATAGAGAACTTACCTCTTTTTTCCTCCATAATTTTTACAGAGATGACATTTTTATCCATGGGGTTCGGGTACTAAACAAAAACATATAAAAAAGAATCACCATTAATCTTCTACCAAAGTGAATTATTTAGTAGTAACCACCACTGTTGGCAGGAGTAGTAAATGCTTTCCAAGAAACTTCTAAACAAAGTCCAGATTTAAATCATGGATCTTAATTTTATATTTCTCCTATGTAAGTGAGATGCTTATCACCATCTTGACTTACATGAAATCTGGGGAAAACCTTTAGATCCAACATAGCCCTAAATGGAGAGGGGGGATGAGGTTAAGCTAATCAATAAATAATAATACTATTAATATTGAACCAGCCTAACATAAGAGTGTTCTTCCTGCTAGGCACTGTACTAAATGCTTTCCTGGCACAATCTTGTCTAAATCCGGCAGCCTCTCTCTCTGTTGTAACTGATTTATGTGATATCATCATCCCCATCTTTCAGATATGGAAACTGAATGAAGACTGGATTGCTTAGGGTCACCCAGCTGGCTCCTTGTGGAGTCAGGAAATTAAACCAGGCCTGTTTGTATTAACACAGAGTAGACCTCTTCACCATGATCTAATATCATTGCCTGCAGGCTGGGTTAGCATCACAGTAGGATATTCATAGAAGTATGCTACGCTAGGCACATAGTAAATGCTCAATAAATATTTAACATGTTGATTTAATTCCCCTGAAAGACAATTTGGCTGTGACAAGGTTGATAATAGCTACCGCTTATGTCCTAGGCAATTTACATACTTTTTATACATTAGTTCAGTTTATATACATTAGCTCTATAAGCTATGTCTTATTTTTCTACTTCCTGTATGAAAAATAAGGCTTAGATAAATTAAGTAATTTGCTCAAATTGTCCAGCTAATGAATAGTGTATCTGGGGGTAACATAATTTACCCCCAGATTCTTTCTGCCAGCCTACAAAGCCTGCCCACCTAACCTACCACCAAATCACCTAATAGTTAATCTAACACATTCCTTTCCATTATTCATATGTGAAAAGAGAGACACTGCAAGCAGAAGCGACCTCCTAAAAGCCACAAGACAAGGTAGCTGCTGACCCGAGCCCACCAAGCCCCCTTGGATTCTTTTTTCCTGAGGTTTACCTATTCATCATGTGATCAAATCTGAAAATTAGTGGGAAGTCATCCATGACATCACAAAGTGCTGAGCAGAAGGCAAGAGCAGCTGGCAGGCTGAGGGAAGGAGGAAAAAAGGCCCCTCATTTGGCAAACTTGAGCCTTAAGTTTTCTGAACCCTAGGTCTCCACCCACAGCAGCTCTGTGTGTGTGTATGTCTGTGTGTGTGTGTGTGTGTGTGTGTGTGTGTGTGTGTGTGATTTATTAATGGATTTTTCAGGGAAAGAGGTTCATCATTTTAACACACTCTTAAAGATATCGATGACCCAAAAAAGACAGTAGATTAGAACACTGGCTCTCTGAGGGCAGGAATACTGTCCATTTCACTTACTCCTATATTATATATGTCTGGCACATAGAAAGTACTAAGTCAATATTTTCTGAATAAATTTTAAAATTTGCAATGTAAACCTCAATGACCTTAGGGATCAATTTGGAAAATGAGCCTGCCTTCAGTCAGAAACCAATCTGCGAAGAGAGCAGCGGCTCAGCTTTCGACAACCTCACTATCTCTCTTCACATTCCATGTTGGTAAACTCTGTCATTCACATTTCCATCCTGGAAACTGCAATCTTGATAACTGATGAAAAACTTAGTTTTTAAAAATCTATTTATTTATATCTTCATTCATTCATTTTTAGCCCTAGGGGAAAAAATGCTTAGCTGGGCACAGTGGCTCACACCTGTAATCCCAGCACTTTGGGAGGCTGAGGCGGGCGGACTACTTGAGGTTAGGAGTTCAAGACCAGCCTGCCCAACATGGTAAAACCCTGTTTCTATTAAAAATACAAAAATCAGCCGGGTATGGTGGTGCACACCTGTAGTCCCAGCTACTGAAGAGGCTGAGGCAGTAGAATTGCTTGAACCTGGGAGGCAGAGGTTGCAATGAGCCGAGATTGTGCCATTGCACTGCAGCCTGGGTGACAGAGTGAGACTCCAAAAAAAAAAAAAAAAAAAAGATGCTTGAAACAACATTGATTTTGCAGTTCAGCCCTTCCAAGTTACATGCCCATGACAGAGGGTTAGGTATAGACGCTCTGCTCCTCAGCAAAGTAGACTTTCACTTACACAGTACCCCCTAAAGCAAGGGAGATATTTGAGACTCACACAGGTCCTCTTAACTGTGACTATATATGTGTATATTGTAACTTGTACACTAACGTAAAATGGGCTTATCTCCTTTACTACAGTTCTAGCTTGTTCATTACAGACCCATAAATATATATTGACTGAATATTATAAATTCATGTCAGTTGTAGGGAGATGACTAAACTGAATTATAAGAGTTGAAAATGTAATCACCAGGGAGACGAGGTGATAAAATTTTTCAAGTTCTGACTACTTCACTAAGTTATCAGAGAAATTCTTAAAGATTATAAACTCAAATACTTAACACTTGCATAATTTTTGGAGTTTGAACAGCTATGAGCCTCAGTTTCCATACAAGAATAGTAGAAGAAAATAGGGGTTTATTTGTAATAGCTAACTACCATACTATGAAAGGTACATATTTCAACCTCTTTAAAGATTTATTGAACTGAGGCTCCCCCTACCTGGCGTTACTTGAAATTATCTGATGCCACCTTGTGGTAACTTGAATATTCATGTTTTAATTCATGAAAATTTACCAAAACTCCAATGAAAAAGTGTTGAAAAAGGGAAAGCTTCTCAGAAAAGGTCAACGCCAGAAACACTAACCTGGAAAGACAGGAGGCATGTGGCCAGGTTTTTCTGAAGACCTTTTCAAACACAATACAGTATGACCGTAGAATTGATCAAGCTAAATCAGAATCACACCCATCAAAGACTTACAGAGCAGCTACTGTGTTTATGCAGGGTGCTATACTAGAGAAGCTGTCATGCACATGATCTCATTCAGTCCTTCTGAAAGCATGGAATCCTATCAAGTATTAATACACAGAGTATTTTTCCTAAAATATAATAATGCAAAGCCTGTAGATGAGCAGGTCACACCTGAATTCTTCAATCCCCATTTCATACTAGAGACTCTCATGAAAGCAATGTGATCTGAAGACCCACGTATCTGCCAAAAGCCCTTATCCTTCTCAATACTGGCTCAGGTGATCACCAACTGCAGTGTGCATAAGAATGATCCCACAGGCTGCATACATGTACCATGTATGCTATACTACTTTATGGATGATTTAAGGGATTTTTAAAGGTATATTTGACTTGATTTTGCATTTCCTTATAACTTTTACTTTCTTCACAGAATGTGTAAACTAACTCCTTTTCCTTTCCCAAGACATGAAACTATTGCAAATACCACCGCATAATCACATGTATGTAACATTCTAACAGGATAAGATTTAGACTCTCCTAAAGCTGGTGTATCTTTTTGCTTTCATTTATTTTTTTACGTATTAAAAGATAAGCCAAGAACTTCATAATATTGGCGGGGGGGGATATGCATTAAAACAAACACATACATATAAAAAGTGAGAGGCCAAGAAACTGAGTCCCTCTAATTACAGAAATAATATTTAATATGTTTGTGGGAGAAGCTTCATGAAGATAAAACACTTAGCATTCATATTTGCTGAGGGGAGAAAAAAAAACCATAAGCTTTCAGAAAGCCTACTCTTTTTTTTTTTTTTTTTTTTTTTGAGACGGAGTTTCGCCCTTGTTACCCAGGCTGGAGTGCAATGGCGCGATCTCGGCTCACCGCAACCTCCGCCTCCTGGGTTCAGGCAATTCTCCTGCCTCAGCCTCCTGAGTAGCTGGGATTACAGGCACGCACCACCATGCCCAGCTAATTTTTTGTATTTTTGGTAGAGACGGGGTTTCACCATGTTGACCAGGATGGTCTCGATCTCTCGACCTCGTGATCCACCCGCCTCGGCCTCCCAAAGTGCTGGGATTACAGGCTTGAGCCACCGCACCCGGCACAGAAAGCCTACTCTTAAAAGAGTTATTAAAACATCAATTCTCCAAAAAGCTCAGACGACAATGTCTGTTTTTTTAATAACATTTGAGTCAATGACATCCAAAGAGGAGTCACTGTCCATTACCCAACAGAGTACAAGGAAGCAGGTAAGTGAAAGATCTATCTGAATAGTCCTGCAAAGAAGGCAAAGAAGACCTACAGTAAGTCTGGTATATTAATATATCCATTTTATAAGCATTAAGGGAATCTGTTATCTAGGCTGCTGCCACAATCGCCACGAGATAGGTTTCTAAGTACACTCTACAATTATTTTCAAATGGCATTTAGAAAATATTCATAATTCAAATGTGTACCTTTACTCATGCTCACTCTCCCCTTTATTACTTCAAGTTAGTAAAGATTTCTGAAGGCGACTTCTCTCAGCTTTTTAATTTCAGGCTCACGAAATAAATGCAACAAATTATCGTTGTTGCTGTTATCATTATTCAAGTACTTTAAAAGAGCCTACTGTGTGCTGAAATTAAGCTAGTTATATTATATGCAACTGTATGTATTATCTGATTTAATTTCTCCAACTCCAGAAGATAGTGATTATTCTTCTCATTTTGCAGATGAGGAAATCGAGGTATAGAAAAATGAACTGACCTATAAACCAAGCTCAAAGGGCTAGCTAACAGCACTCCATCCCTGTCTTCCCCATCCCATCTGATGTCAGAGCCCACGTCCTGCACAACTACACCATTCTCCTTTACATCATGACTAATCTTCTAGGAGAACCGAGGACAGGAAGATAAAAGTGAAGAAAGACTAGTGCAGCACAAGACAAAAGATAAATAATCATTATGTTAAACTAGGCCTATGGTTTATCAAATCATTTATCTTAGAAATGCAGGTTCAGGCCGGGCGCAGTGGCTCAAGCCTGTAATCCCAGCACTTTGGGAGGCCGAGGCGGGTGGATCACGAGGTCGAGAGATTGAGACCATCCTGGTCAACATGGTGAAACCCCGTCTCTACTAAAAATACAAAAAATTAGCTGGGCATGGTGGTGCGTGCCTGTAATCCCAGCTACTCAGGAGGCTGAGGCAGGAGAATTGCCTGAACCCAGGAGGCGGAGGTTGCGGTGAGCCAAGATCCCGCCATTGCACTCCAGCCTGGGTAACAAGAGCGAAACTCAGTCTCAAAAAAAAAAAAAAAAAAAGAAATGCAGGTTCACCCCCCACATATTTCTGGAGCTTTGCAAGGAGATATGTTCCACACATGTAAGTGTCAGATTTGCAAGGGAGAAAAGATAAGATCAGAAATGGAAACATTATTAATTACCCAATCAACTTTCTACTCTAAATGGAAATAGCCATTCATAAATCCCCTTTATGAGCTTAAGAGTAAACATTCAAGCCATTTTGTTCAGCACACCAGGCTCCCAGCCAGAATAAATAATACCCAGGGTCATTTTGTTGAAGCAAAGAAATTATTAATATTTTAATACATCGATTTCATTACAGTACCCAAAGTAAGGACATGTTTCTGAATCCTATACTGACTTCAATCTAAAATTACACGTGGCTAATCCACAAAAGAGTTATTTCATTCAACCATTCAACAAGGATTTGCTGAGTACCTACTGTGTTCCAAGATCTCTTTGGGTACTTGGGATACATCAGAAACAAATGACAAAAATCACCACCCATGAAGGCAATACTCTATTCACTATGACTCTTTTGACCACAGCATAAAAAGAAAATCAACCTTCTGAGGGTAAGAAAAATCTTTACTTCTCTGGCCTCATTTAGATATAAACAAGAAGAGCCAGTCAATACATGGCCCTCTGGATCCTTTTTAATGACTTTAAATTTCAGGCAGATGAAATTTAAGAAATTCTCTGAATCCAGCTCATGAAAGACAAGCCCATTAAAAAGGTCTAAGTCAGCTTCCAGAGAAGACCTATTTTCTACACTGCTACATTCATCTATGCAACTTTCTGTTCTTTTTGTAGATGACTGTAAGTAAAAGGAAGGAAACAGTGGTAAGTGATGAGAGCTAGAAAGCTAAGATTCACATGAAGAAAGAAACCAAAATATACTGTCAAGTGCACTGATGCTATAGCTCTTGGAAAGTGCATATAGTTCAGCATCCAACAAATAAACCATTTTGGGTTTCATAACATTCCTCCATGAAGAGTTTATTGAGAAATACTATATTTCACGAACAAAGAATATCATATTGTTTGTTTTCACAGTGTCACTTAGCTTAGAAAGCATGCAGCTAATATTTTGCCTGTGGTATTCAACAGGCAGATGTAAGAAGAGCAAACATTCTTCAGGTTTTAAAAACAGTAATATATTATAACTTGGAAGGCAAGTCCTAACATAACCAAAGCTGTAGATCAGTAGATTGATTTAAAATAGAACTTCCTCAGTGCTAAAGCAGCTTCAAACATACCATTGTGCAAAATCAGATTAAACACTTCCCAGAGATCTTCATATCATTGTCCCTTCTGCCAAGTGCTTTCCTTTGAAAAAAAAAAAAATTTATAAAGACTGAAAGAAAAATAAAACTATATTTTGCCAAAAAGATAATTCTTACTACCTTAGGCTTATAAAAAAGCTTATGCTTTTCAAACTGTTAACACATTTGATATCCTCACAACAACCCTGGAAGGTAGGTGGGGTAGGTGGCATTACCATTTCACAGATGAGACGCTAGGGCTTACACAGTTGCTCACTGCACATGGGCTCCAGGTCATGTAGGCCTGTGGACACAGAACTGCATCTACCTAGAGGAAGGAGTATGTTTTTCTAATTTGCATAAATGGTCTCATTTGCTTTCCACTAGCCCTATGAACTGTGAGCTTAAGGAGTGGACCCCTAAAAGAAGCCTTTTCTAATTTGCACAAGGACATAGTATAGCATGGTGAAAACTGTTTCCCATGACCATCCAACCTAACAGTGAAAGCACAACGATCAGGATCCAGGTCTACTGACTTCCAGTTGGCTCTGAAAAACGTAAGGTGAAAATTCACCCAGCAGATGGATTTACTGACATCTTATAAATAGTCACGTAGTTCCTTCCAAGGAATCTCTGAAGGATTCTTTTATGAATGAATAGAAAGAAAGGAAGTACAGTGACATAGGTGATGTTAACACTATCCCACCACTAGACATTTAGTCTCCAAATGTTTGTCTCTCATTTTCCCAGTTCTGCCTTCCAAAATGTCCTTCTTAACTTTTTTCACTATGTACCAGGTACTTTGCTAAATATTTTATAAGAATTATAACAGGTTCTAACTGACTACGGCTACATAAGTGACCTCAGCTATACCACACAGCACACAAAAACCAACCACTTTTCACAGCATCATGAAAATTAAAAGCCTGTCCTTGGTTTAAGTCACTAAGTTTTGGAGTGGTTTGTTACATACCAATAGATAACTTAAACATTCTATGTTCTCACCCTAACACACATCCAAATTATACCTTTATGTCAGGGACAATAGGTCCACTCAACTGAGCAAACCCTGAGAGAAGACTGTGAACAAAAGGAAACAGATCAAGCGCAGCAAAGTTTTTTGGGCTTTTTTGTTTTGTTTTGATTTTGAGACAAAGTCTTGCTCTGTCACCCAGGCTGGAGTGCAATGGCATGATCTATCTCAGCTGACTGCAATCTCCACCTCCTGGGTTCAGGAGATTCTTGTCTTAGCCTACTGAGTAGCTGGGATTACAGGCATAGGCCACCACACCTGGCTAATTTTTGTATTTTTGGTAGAGATGGGGTTTTACCATGTTGGCCAGGCTGGTCTCGAATGCCTGACCTCAAGTGATCCACCAGTCCTTGGCCTCCCAAAGTGCTGGAATTACAGGCATGAGCCACTGTGCCTGGCCAGCAAAGTTGATTCTGAAACACTGTATTCCCTCAATAATCATCCGAGTGCCTGTTACATGCAATGCAGCACAGCCTGGTGGCTAAGGGTGTGGGTTTTGGATCTATGTGTTAAAATATTGGCTCTCCTACCTGCTAGCTGTGGGAACTTGAGGAAGGCACTTGGACTTCTCTGGTCCTCAGTTTCTCCATACTGGAAAATGGAAATTAATCATAACTACTTCCTGAGGCTGCTGGGAGCAGTAAACATGATAAAGTATGGAAAGCACACATGAGCGCACATACACACACACCACACCACATACCACACATCCAGCCTTCCTAGGAAACTCCTATTCATGCTTCAGTCGTCATTTCACAAGTGCCACTTGTTCAGGAAACACTTTCCTAAAGATCGCCCTCTCTGACTTCAGCAGGCCTCCCTGCTATATTCAAGCACCATGTATTTTCCTTTTGTAAATACACATCAACCATTTGAATTTTATGTTCATTTGCTCATCATTTATTTATGTTAATCTCACCCACTAGACACCATCAGCTCCATGAGAACAGGGTCTGTGGTGCCCTCCTATGTTTATCTAGCACCTAGCACAAAGCTTGGCACACAGAAGGTAAGTATCTGTTCAATGAAAGAAAAGCATTTACCAAAAGCTGACAATGCGCTGAGACCTCCGTAAATGAGAGCCTGGCATTGTGTTACATGTTTCTGAAGGAGTGAGTCTCACCTTTAAAAACCTTAGAGTCTAACAGGGGAACACAACACATACAGAAGTCATCATCTGTCACTGCAGAAGGTCAGCAAGGCCTAGGTAAAGTGCCCTGCAAGTTCTGAGAAGGTGGAGATGGATGGACTCTTGATGATGACAATCCAAAAAGATTTTACAAAGGAGCAGTGGTATAAGAGCACCCACACTCAAATGCCAGTCCTAAACCCCACTCAAAAAAAAAAAAAAAATTGGGTGTTGGCTGTTACTTTTTGGGCCCACACACCTAGCCTAAGGCAAAGACTACAACAGATCATTTATTCCTTGATCAGGTTTTTATTAAATACCTAGTAGTAGGTGTTAGGCACTAGTCTAGCTAACTGAAAATCAATGAACATATCAGCAAGCTGACATTCCTCCTAAAGAGGAGCAACAAAATGTTAACCAATGTCCTCCTCACTCCTCTGTGACCTGGGCCACCGTGTCACCTCCTCTAATGAAGGCTATGCCTCATCATTGAACAAATAACCTTCATCTTCCCAGCATCCCCCTTAGTTTGGCTTCCAGGTTGCATACGGAGTTCAATGTCCAGTGGCTGCTAACCAAGACAAATTGCAATTGTTGCAAATCTTAAGAAAGTGAAAGATGAGGAGACCTTAAAAGATATTCTGGTACAACCCTTTCATCTTAGATGTGAAAACTAAGACCGAGAGAAAAGACCCTTGGCCAAGGTCCCCCAGAGAACTAACCACGGACAGAACCAGAGCAGAGTCCAGGAGTCCTACCTCCCAGACCTGGGCGCTTTTGATTTTTCAAAGCCATTTCTCATTTTCCCATTATCATGACCCACAATCCTAGAAACAGTCTTTAGGATTCAGGGCCGCTCAATATTGAGGAAGAGCTCATTATTTGTACTGAAATCAGTTTTAGTAATACAAACAACATAACATTTTAGAGCCCTAACTAAACATCAGTAGCAGTGAGAAAAAGAAAAATAGCTCAGAGCAGACTGTGTGAGCTCCAGTGAAATATGCAAAATCGATCGAGCCCAGAAAGTGAAGAGTATAGGACTTTAGTGATTTCCCTCCTCACCCAACCCATTCCTGGGAGCAACTAGTTAAAGGCATTTTGTTCCTAACCAGCTGCCTTACCCATTATCTTCAAGTTCCCGGAATTTGTGATACAAAGAACAATGTACAGCCAATCAATAGTTTATGTTACTTTAATATAAATTATTGGTAAACAACTTAGGAACCGCCTATTTTCCTTTAAAACCCCACTTTTGACTTCTGCTCATCAGAATGTATACCCAGAGCACTTTCACTCCAGGATGCGGTCCTCAAACTCGGCTAAACTCTCTTCTTATACTGCTTTTGCCTCAGTTTCTTCATTTAGGTGACAGCTGTGATAAGCACTTTACCTGAATTACCTCATTTGGATCCTCACAACAACACTATGAGTCGCTAATACTATTTTCCCTATTTTACAGATTACCAGACTAAAGCACAGAGAGAGTATGCAAACTGCACCAAGTCCCACAGCTGTTTAACAAGGGAAAGTGGAGAGGCAGCAGAAGGAACATGCTGAGCAAACCAGGAGGACAGCCCAACGGCCTCCCCTCGCCATCAGTGCCTGAAAGGAGAGACGCGCGCGCGAGCTTCCGCTAGGACGGAGGAGAGGGGAGAGCGGCAAGCCGGCGAGGTAGCGCGGGCTCCGGAGGGTGGAAGCTGGGCGGTACCTTTCGGAGAAAGCTGGCGACCACCTGCTCGAAGGGGTACTTGTACACCTGGTGCACGTCCACCGTGACCCCCATCCCCGCGCGCCCCAGGCCCCGCGCGCCGGCCACGCCTCCGCGAGCGCAGGGCTGCCCCCAGATCCGCGCGTGGGCGCCCACACTCGGACAGCCACAGGGGCGTGGCCTTTTTCCTCAGCCTTTCAAACTTTCCAAACTTTATTGGCCACTCGAAGAAACGCGCAGTCGGCCACGCCCACGCCCCTTCCGCCGGGGGCGGGGGGGGCGGGGGCGGGGGCGGGGCAGAGCGCGGGGAGCGCGGGGAGCGGGGAGCGCGCCCGGAGCCCCCAGGGCCCCGCGGTCTCCCCGCTGGGGGCGCCAGAGCGGCCCCGTTGCCCTCCCGCGGCCGCGCCTTCCGAGAGAAGCTTCTCTGCCCGGGAGGCACCACGCCCCGCCCCGTGAAACCCGGACCTTGGGCGTGTGCTTTCATGGCATCACCGCCTGGAGTCACAGAATAAGCGTGGTTGGAGCACCGGAAAAAAGTTTTCATAAGGAAAGTCTGGTGTGACAAAGGTTAGCATTCCTCGCGCCACCGGGCAGCTGCCTCTGAGGCTTGGGGTTGGGCCGCGGGTACCGTAAAGATTGCCTCGGGAATAAAACCGCGGTTTCGCGCATCCCACCCTGCGGGGAAGTTCCTTTGCTCGCTAAGGTTACACACCACGGAGCGAGGAACTAGAGGATACGAGAAGAGTTGCGAGTATTCGTCTTCGCCGCAACGCACAGATGTTGGGCGAACCAGCACGTTAATCCGCGTATTCAGCGAGTTATGCGGCACAGTTCTGAGGCCTCCCATGCGCCAGCGCCGTGGTGGGCACTGCGGATTCCGCGGGGAGGAAACACCGGCCCTGCTGAGGAGCCGGCTCATTTCACAACCAATCAACAAGCTTGGAAAATAAACACAATGCTCGGTTAAAGGGACGCGGACGCGGACGTGATTTTAGCGAGGGTGGTTATGGAAGGTCTCTTGCCATATGCCCCTGCCATACACAGTCGCACTGGTCTGCCAAAACCCTAGCCTTGGGAAAATCTAGCTCTCCTTTGACCGCCTCTACCCAAGCCACGGGAAGGGGCTGGAGGAAATACTCACCCACTGTGACGGGCATCTTTTAAATTCATAACCACTAACCCCAAGGGGCCTTGAATGCTGCCAGACAAACACAATTTGAAAGTACTGACGATGATTCATGCCTGTAATCCCAGCACTTTAGGGGGCCGAGACGGGCGGATCACCTGAGGTCCGGAGTTTGAGACCAGCCTGGCCAACATGGTGAAACCCCGCCTCTACTAAAAATACAAAAATTAGCTGGGCATGGTGGCTCACGCCTGTAGTCACAGCTACTCAGGAGGCTGAGGTACGAGAAATGCTTGAACCCAGGAGGCACAGATTGCAGTGATCCGAGATCATGCCACCGCACTCCAGCCTGGCGCCTGGCAACAAAGTGAGACTCTGTCTCAAAAAAAAAAAAAAAAAAAAATTAGCCGGCCATCATGGCGGGCACCTGTAATCCCAGCTACTCGTGAAGTTCAATTGCTTGAACCTGGGAGGTGGAGACTACAGTGAGCGAAGATCGCGCCACTGTACTCCAGCCTGGGCAACAAAGCGAGACACCATCTCAAAAAAAAAAAAAAAGAAAGAAAGAAAAATAAAGTACTAAATTTTTCTAATCTGACTCTCCCACACTCTTTTAATCTCACACCTCTGACATCTTTGTTGCCAGTCTTAAACTCCAGTCATTACCTTACTTCCATTTTCACTTAGTAGGTAGGTCATTTCGCTCTGCCACCTCTCTACCCGCTGGACCTAATGCCCTGCCTTCCCTCTTGCTCCTGTGGATGAACTGTCAGCACTTTGGTTTAGCACCAGTGTCTCCATTTGTCCACTGAATCCTGAGGTGAGCTGAAAAATGTGTAACAAACAGCTCTCCTTTAAAATATAAACTAAGCAAGGCCCTGATTTCCAAAGGTTGCTGATTCCTGTGCTATAAATACTCCTACCATGTTTAAAGATGCTAAGTTAATGTCACTAAACACAAGTTTGGGATTTAGCGACATGAAGTTTAGGGAGGAGTGGGAGTTGGGGAGGGAAGCACAGAATCACACCGTTATATAGTGTTTCAACCATCCATATACAAGAGCCATAAAGAACCAAGAACATTGATACTAGGAAAATGTAGTAGGAAAGGATGAGTTTTCAATGTTTATTACTTTTTGGCCAGGCTCCTATGGTTCATGCCTGTAACCTCAGCCCTTTGGGAGGCCAAGGCAGAAGGATCACTTGAGACCAAGAGTTTGAGACCAGTGTGGGCAACATAGTGAAACCCCATGTCTACAAAAAATAAAAAATTAGCCAGGTGTGGTGGTGCACACGTGTAGTCCTAGCTACTTGAGAGGCTAAGGCTGGAAGATCTATTAAATCCAGGAGTTCAAGGCTGTAGTGAACGATGATCATGCCATGCACTCCAGCCTGGGCCACAGAGTGAGACCCAGCTCAAATAAATAAATATTTATTTATTTTTATATATAATTTATGTGATTGTAAATTTATGTACTTTACCCCTTTCTTGTTCAAGGCCATCTCTCTAGCAATATCCCCCTTCCTTTCTACACCATCAGCTTTTGTCTCTACTGGGCCATTCCAGCCAGCACAAGTACACTGTAATTTCTTCCATCTTAAAAAAAAAATAAATCACTCTGTCACTCTTAATCCCCTATCTTCCTCCAGCTGTATTCCAATCCTCTCTCCAATGTTGCTCCTCAAAAGAGTTGCCTGTAATCTCTTGAGCCCATTCCAGTCAGTTTTTGCCCCCACCACTTCACTGAAACTACTGTTGTCAAGGTCACCGATGACCAAATTGCTAAATCCGATAATTAATTCTTAATCCCCACCTTACTAAGCTTGTAGGCAGCATTTCCTTGAAATACAGAGGGAGGAGTGGAGAGGAAAATGAGATGCAAACACTCTTACATGTGTTGGATGCATGTTTAAAAGTCACTCCACTGTATCACCACTCCCTCCTTATAGGAAAACAAAAATCGGTCTTCCAGGGACACTGCACAGGCCCACAAAGGAGAGATCAATGACCTGCAGAGTTTATGGTATTTTGTATCTGCCTCCGTTACCAGAGTAGCTGGAGACGAGATGTGACATACAAACCCCCTGCTAGGGTGGATCCTGAACCCTGTATTCTCAGTCCACTCTGACCATCAATTTCCTCCAGAATATATCTTTAAGCAGGACTTAATCTCCTGATTAAGTAACCATGAAAGGGTAAAGTTGTGTCCTGAAAGATTAAAGGCTCCACCACCTGCTACCTCTACGTGGGCTGCTTGGCTGAGGGACTTGTGTAAGAATAAATGCGACCTATCCATTCCAAGGACATTAGGGCTTTCTGAAACATGTGCCAGTCTTGACAACATGAGCCTATAATCTGGTAGCTCCAAATCACAGCCAGTTTGCACAACAGTAATCTTACTTGCTGGGTCCCTGAGGGAGAGAGAAGAAACTGTGAAATAAATTTCCATTGCTTTGAAATTGGTTGGCTTAACTGGTCAGGGACTTGATGACAGCAATTTGCTGGCCAACCTTATTCAGTCTTTAAGATACCAAATATCTTACCAAAGAGCTTTTGTAAGATATCAAATAACTTTTGTGTCTTCAAAGGGAGGCACAATAGTTTAAACATGGTAGTCATCCAATACACTTAGGTTGAATGAATGAATGATTGTAAATGCTGCAAAATTTAAGTGACACCGAACTCCAATCCTGACTCCGTCTCTGTGCTTTTCTCGCCTTCTTCACGCTAGTTCAGTTCCCTCTTCTGACCATCCTGACCATCTCTCTATCACTGATTTTTTTGTATCCAGTCTTATAATTGTCTGCATATAGAAATACTTCCCTGTTACTGTGACATCCTCAAGACTAGAGGAACTATATATTATTCACTCCTCTCTGTCCAGTGCCTAGTAAAATGCCTGGCACCTAGTATATGTTGAATAAATTCATGAATGTACTTACCATACAATAGGACCTTGAACAAAATTCTTCCTGCCCCTGAAGCTCAGTTTTTCCATCAACAAAAACTGAAATTCAGGGGCAGAAATTGAGTGGGCCAAGACTGTCTCTAAAATCCAGCAACTTGACATTTGAGATGTGGGCTAGAGACACCGGCCAAGGCAAGGAACAGGGATATAGTTATTGAAAACAGGGTACAGAAAGAGAATTTTCAAGGAACACAAAGCAAAATCTCAGAATAGATTCAAATATGTAAAATACCAGGTATGATAAGTAAGTGTGGGTACTAAGGAGAGAAAATAAACTGGAGAAGAAAGATGAGAAGTGATGGCAGGGCAGGAGAGAGAGGAGCAGTGTTAAATTTTTTTTTAAAGAGCTAAGGAAGACCTTCCCAAGAAAGTGACATTTAAGTAGAAAAGTTGAAAGAAGAGAAGGAGCAAATCATGCTCATATTTGGAGGAGGATCGTCTGGGGTAGAAGGAAAGGCAGGTGCCAAGGCCCTGAAATAGGCATTCTCCTGAAACATTTCAGGACTGCAAGGAGGTCAGTATGGCTGTTGCAGAGTTCCTGAGAGATAAGGTCAGAAAACAAGGATCTAGGTCACATAGCGTCCTCCAGGCCGTGGTAAAGACGTTGGCTTTGTATAACATGGGAAGCCGTTGAGAGTTTTGAACAGAGTAGAGACATGATCTCAACTCCATATTTTAACAGAGTCACTCTGGCTCTTACAGTTTGGAGAAGCAAAGCAAAGAAAGAGACTAATTAAGAGGTATGATATTTTCCATATATATATTTTTTTTCATCCATGGTTCCAGGCTCATAACTCCTATAGCCCTTGCTACAGCATTTGGCTATAATGTTGGGGCACTATAGGCCTCAGAAGGAGGCTTTTCTCTCTCTCGCCTTCTGACTTCCCTTCACCTGCCAAGGTAGGACTCTAATCTTTCCTAGCCTTTCTGATTGTAGGTCATAAGACACTCATTCCAGAAAGCATCCTGCCCTATACCTTGCAGGAAGGAATGCTGCACAGGGAGGCCAAGAAGAAGCTGGACAGATGGGCCTTGCTGAGTTTCCTGACTCAATCTGTT